GGCTGCAGCCCGCAACCCGGGCATGTGCCCTGACCGGGAATCGAACCACCGATCGCCTGGATCCTAGGTCGACGCTTAATGGCTGAGCCACGCCCGGCCGGGCTTCCCAGGCTTTTGAAAAGTAGAGGGGACCTAGCCTCCCAGAGCGCCCACTGTGGTGGAGTAGACACCACCAGTCAGACTGGAAAAGTGGTGGCAGAGAGGCCAGGAGCCAAATGAGATGGGGCTGCTGAAGCCTCCCTGAGACTTAACTCTGGAACCAAGATCTGGAGGGCAGAGGGGACAACCAGCACAAACCTGTGTGACCGTGGGGAACGGGCCAAACAGGTGGGGCGGCGGGTGCAGGGGTAGAACTCAGGAGGGACTGAGCAGGTAGAAGCGGCAGGGCTCCCGTGAAGACCGCTGCCAGAATCCTGGCTTCTGCCACTGGCCAGACACCCGTGCCAAGTAAAAGCAGGTGGAGGGGTTCAGGCCGTGAAGCATGGCATACCCACCAGAGACTCTGGGAGAAACATGTGAGTGTCTGTGGGCTCGCTGGGTGGTGGAGGCTTCTGTCTTCTCCATGTCGAGTGGCAGACAGACTGGGTGGCTGAGGGAGCGTGGGGCAGGAGGCAAGTCGAGGGCTGGTGCTCAGGCCTGGAGCGTCTCCCGTTCCCCTGATCACCTGCTGAGGTTGCTGCGGCCCCCTCCTCCTTGGGTTGCCAACCTTGCCCTCCCCTCCTGGTACACCTCCCAAGCACAGGTGCTCAAAGCCACCCTGCAGTCCGCTGTTATTCCCCGAGGAATAGCCCTGCCTGGTGGGGCTGAGACCAGCTAGTAGCCTGGTAGCCGGGGCTGGGGGGCGGCTAACATTGCCCCGCCTGTGTCCCAGCTGCAGGCTCAGGCGCCCGGGGCGGGGCCCCACCTGCCCAACCACTGCTCAGTGGCTATGTTCGTGCATTGGCTGCTGAGCCGGGGCTACGGCTTCGACGAGGAGGCCTTCAGCCGAGTGACCTTCCAGAAGAAGGTGGGAGCTGGCAGGAGGGCGGGGCCGGGGTGTCGGG